CCCCCCGCTCTCTCCCTCTCAATCCCCCGGCCTCTTCAGCTTCGTCCCTTTCACTCTTTATCCAAACCCGCCGCATTTCCCTCCTCGTCATTTTATCTCTGTTCTCCCATTCACTGTTTATCCCTCTTTCACCCTCCCTTTGCTTTCCCCTTTCTTTATCTCTCCCGGCTGCCAATCTCTCCGTCCCTCTCCTTCCATCTCCAACTCTCCTGCTCCAACACTGAGCTTCCTCCTCTCTCTCCTTCCTTTGCAGCACTTTGTTAAGGAGCTCTTATAATTGCGGAGTTGTTCAGACCCACATCCTCTGTCGTCTCCTCTGGGAGTGGTGGTACATTGAGCCTGTTTTAAAAGCTTGGGCTCTTTGGATGGAATCGGGTACCGGAGGTTATGGTTTAATTATTGAAGGTCTCTCGTGCACTCTTTCTCTTTTTCCTCTCGGAATATGTCAATATGCTCCAAGTTTCTTCACTTTCGGCTATTCACCCAATCGCCAATAGAACCGATTATGTGTGTGTGTGTGTGTGTGTGTGTGTGTGTGTGTGTGTGTGTGTGTGTGTGTGTGTGTGTGTGTGTGTGTGTGTGTGTGTGTGTGTGTGTGTGTGTGTGTGTGTGTTTGAGTGGGATATACTGCAACTGCTATGACTGGAGTGTAACACGCTGCCACATATACATCATACAAATCATACATTAGCAATCCTTCATCACAGTTCAATATGAGCATCTATTCGTTCCTTTTGTGCATACCTGCACTTCACCATGAATGACTGCACGTGAATAATAACACAGATATGTGTGATATCAGAAGAACTTTTTCAAACTTCACCCTTCCTCATCTAATTTTATTTTTCTCTTATCGTATAAAGGGCAATCATTTTAACCGGTTTGCTGACATTCAGCCCTGGTTGCTTGTCGTGTGGCGCGCCGCACATATCTCCCAGTCTAACACAGTGATGAGACACCTGGAACACGAGGACTTTGCTCTTCCCATCCTCCCGACCCTGACTTCAGTCTTATTCCCCTTCCCCACTGTAGATACATCCCTTGCCTTGATATTGCTCCTGTGGCATTACCATGCCAACTGGATGGTGGTTAAAACCGCATGCAGCGAGACAGATAACTCTCCCCTCTGCTTAATATGTAACTGCTGATTGCAGACGCAAAGAGCAAAATAAGCAGCCCTGCAATTCTGTGTAAGACTCTGCAATCTGTTAGATCTGTTAGACTGATCGGTCCTGCTCACCTCTTTATGTGCGTTCTTGCTCGGGAGGAGATAAATACCACTCTCGTTTGTTTGCTAGTGGTACGATAGATCAGTTGGTGCAGGTTAGTTTAGCATAAAGATGTGAAACAGGGGGAAACCATTGGTCCCTTTTCCAAATCCAAAACCAATTGCAGACAAGCGCAACAGCTCCAAAACTCACTAATTAACACATATGTTCTTTGAAAACGACTGGTGTGTGTGTGTGTGTGTGTGTGTGTGTGTGTGTGTGTGATATATTATTGCCTAAAGCAAGTACCATCATCAAATTAGCTCAGCAAAGAAATCGATTTTGACGACGTATTGATTGATCTATAAAACTCAAAGTATTACTTAGCATCTTATGTTTAACATCTATGTGCTCACAGTAATTCACCATGAAAAAGAACAACAAATCCACTAAAGACATCTCAGTCGACTAAGACCAACAAACACCCAAACCAAATTGGAAAAGAAGTTACCTGAAGTAATCTTGTAGAGGCCACGTAAATACCTATTACAAGGATCACAAAATCCCATTTCAAAGTTATTTCACATGAAGCCTTCCTTTGATGAGGTCAACACCAGGAGGTATGCAACAACAATATTTGGGGGAGCTCTGGGCTACACACTGGTAAATAAGTAATATTGCTTCTGAGACATCTGCACCAACATGGGGGTAAACAGTCAGCCAATATCAGCTCACACGGCATTCAGCACACGGCCTCCTTTCAGTCCCTCTGGGAAACGATCTTGGTTGGGGGAGATTGAAAACAGCAAGCACCCACACCTGCATTTACCTTCTAATCAAGTGACCCCCCCCCCCCCCCCCCCCCCCCCCTTTTAAAAAAAAACTCTATTTTTATAAGTGGGATAAGAAAAAAAATTAAAACATAGAAAGGCGCGCCCCCCCCTCCCAAAAAGTTTTTTTCTCATACCCGTGGAAAAAAACTAAATGTGGTCACAACCGTTTATTTTTCAGGTCCCCACTCCGCGTAGAGAAGATATTGTATGTTTGGTTTTTTTACAAAACCTCCGAGGGTGTAGTATGTCAAACCTGA